GTAAAGAGATATAATATGACAGAAGGTTGTTATACTTCACTCAAACTGGAATACAGATGACACCAATTTAGTGTGATAGTGTATATATAAAGGAATATATACTAAGCTATAAAATGCAACCAAAAAAACTATAAAAAAGAAGATACACTATAAATACTATGAATAACAAAATGGAATTCTAACACAAATATTCAAACAACCCACAGGAAGTCATGAAAAACAAGCAGAGAAACAAGAATTGATACAGAAAACAAAAAATATCAGGCTTATGCACTAAAATATCCATAATCAGGTGAATTACGAACGGTCTACCAAGAGACAGATAATAGAAGAGGGTATTTAAAAGTATGACCCTTTCTTATATGTTTCTTGTATGCTGTGTATAAGAAACTCACTTGAAACTTACCAATATAGGGCAGGCCAAATTAAAAGGATGAAAAAAGATATTTTACACAAACATTAATGCAAGGAAAGCAAGAGTGCCTGTATGTATATCAGCTAAAGCAAAGAAAATTACCAGAAACAGAGAGATTATATAATGATCAAAGGTTTAATCCATGAAGAAGACAGGAATTTTAAAAGTGTATTCACCAAACAACAGAACTTCAAAATATGTGATGTGAAAACTGCCAGAACCAAGGAGGGTGGGGCTCTGACCTGCGCTGTCTCAGGATGTAAAGTGTAACAAGGGGCTGAGGGGGTGGGGAGGGGCAGCATGGGGCTGTGAGGCCTGTGGAGTGCCCGCATTCCCCAATTCCCCCTGCAGCTGGCTCCGCAGTGGTCTGCTCCGCTTGGTTGCCGCGTGCCGATTCGGGTTCCAGAACCAAGGCTGCGTGTTCTCCACCGCTTGTTGTGGCCAGTGTTACTGCGGTGACCCCAGAGCAGCCTTGGCTCTATGAAGGAGCCAGGTGCTACCCCTCAGCCCTATTTGGGGCTGGTCCTGGAGGGGCTACGCAGCCTTGTGGCAGCACTGCCTGAAAGTAGGAGACCAGATTCGAATTCTTATGGTTTTCCATGGGACTTGGTGGTATGTGCAGCTGTTGTTGGATTTTTTTGCTGTTCTCCTTTTTTTGTGGAGAAGTTTTAGATCAGTTAGGAGTCGGCTTTATGTGGGAAGAGAAACGAAACTTGCTGCAACGCTTTCTGGACTAACTGAAGAAAAATGTAAACTGCTTGAAAAATTTAGCCTTATTCAAAAAGAATATGAAGGCTATGAAGTAGAGTCATCTTTAGAGGATGCCAGCTTTGAGAAGGCGGCAGCAGAAGTACGAAGTTTGGAGGCAGCCTGTGAAAGGCTGAACAGGTCCAATTCTGAACTTGAGGATGAAATCCTCTGTCTAGAGAAAGAGTTCAAAGAAGAGAAATCTAAACATTCTCAACAAGATGAATTGATGGCAGATATTTCAAAAAGGATATGGTCTCTAGAATATGAGTCAAAATCCCTCAAATCACAAATAGCTGAAGCCAAAATCATCTGCAAGATATTTAACATGAATGAAGAACGACAGGAGATAGCAATAAAAGATGCTTTGAATGAAAATTCTCAACTTCAGGAAAGCCAGAAGCAGCTTTTGAAAGAAGCTGAAGTGTGGAAAGAACAAGTGAGTGAACTTAATAAACAGAAAATAACATTTGAAGACTCCAAAGTACACGCAGAACAAGTTCTAAATGATAAAGAAAATCACATCAAGACTCTGACTGGATGCTTGCTAAAGATGAAAGATCCGGCTGCTGTGCTTGGAGAGGACATAACAGATGATGATGATTTGGAATTAGAAGTGAACGGCGAATTGGAAAATGGTGCTTACTTAGATGATCCTCCAAAAGGAGCTTTGAAGAAACTGATTAATGCTGCTAAGTTAAATGTTTCTTTAAAAACCTCAGAAGGAGAAAGAAACCACATTATTATTCAGTTATCTGAAGTTGACAAAACAAAGGAAGAGCTTATAGAGCATATTAAAAATCTTCAGACTCAACACGCATCTTTGCAGTCAGAAAACATGTATTTTGAAGGTGAGAATCAGAAGCTTCAACAGAAACTTAAAGTAATGACTGAATTATATCAAGAAAATGAAATGAAACTCCACAGGAAATTGACAGTAGAGGAAAATTATCGGATAGAGGAAGAAGAGAAACTTTCTAAAGTGGAAAAAAAGATCAGCCATACCACTGAAGGACTGGAGACTTATAGAAAGCTAGCCAAAGATCTTGAAGAAGAATTGGAGAGAACTATTAATTTTTATCAAAGGCAGGTTGTTTCCTACGAGAAAAAAGGACATGACAATTGGTTGGCAGCTCAGACTGCTGAAAGAAACCTCAGTGATTTAAGGAAAGAAAATGCTCACAACAGACAAAAATTAACTGAAAAAGAGTTTACATTTGAACTTTTAGAAAAAGATCCTTGTGCACCTGATGTTTCAAAAACAGCATTTGGCAAAGAGCATTCCCCATATGGTCCCTCACCATTGGGTCGGCCTTCATCTGAAACGAGAGCTTTTCTCTCTCCTCAAACTTTGTTGGAGGGTCCACTCAGACTCTCACCTGTGCTTCCCCGGGGAGGAGGAAGAGGCTCAAGAGGCCCAGGGAATCCTCTGGACCATCAGATTACCAATGAAAGAGGAGAACCAAGCTGTGATACATTAACGGATCCTCAAAGGGCTCCTTCTGACACTGGGTCCCTGTCATCTCCGTGGGAACAGGACCGTAGGATGATGTTTCCTCCACCAGGACAATCATATCCTGATTCAGCTCCTCCTCCACAAAGGAAAGGCAGATTGTATTCTAATTCTGATAGACTGTCTGGGCCAGCAGAACTCAGAAGTGTTAATGTGCCTTCTTTGGATAAAATGGATGGGTCAATGCCTTCAGAAATGGAATCCAGTAGAAATGATGCCAAAGATGATCCTGGTAATTTAAATATGCCTGAGTCATCTCTCGCTGCTGAAAATGAAGCAACTGGTACCAGCTTTGTTCCTCCACCTCTAGCTCCAATCAGAGGTCCATTGTTTCCAGTGAATACAAGGGGCCCATTCATGAGAAGAGGACCTCCTTTCCCCCAACCTCCTCCAGGAACCATGTTCGGAGGTTCTCGAGGTTACTATCCACCAAAGGATTTCCCAGGTCCACCACGTGCTCCATTTGCAATGAGAAACATCTATCCACCGAGGGGTTTTCCTCCTTACCTTCACCCAAGACCTGGATTTTACCCCAACCCCACATTCTGAAGGTAGAAGCGAGTTCCCTTCAGGTTGATTCTGTCTTCAAAGAAGCCTGCTACTGAACATCCAGAACCACAGCAAGAAACCTGACAATATTTTTGCTCTCTTCAAAAGTAATTTAGACTGATCTCATTTTCAGTTTAAGTAACTGCTGTTACTTACATGATTACACTTTTCTGAAATTGAAGTTTAATGGAATTATAGTTCTTAGGATAGTATTTTGTAAATAAAGATGATTTAAACACAAATCTATGAGTAAATCATTTCCATTTTAGTATATTCTAGATCGTATAACTTTTAATCTCGGGAACTAATCCACTACTATAGAAACAATAGTGGAAGTTTTATATATGTAATCTCGCAGGTGGGGAGGCTTTAAATTCTAAAAGCTGTGTCTGCATGCCAAGAACTGCATTCACTGTGGTTGTAGATAAATGTGAAAGTAACTTTATGCTTAATTAAATAATTTTTTTTGATTTTTTTTTAAAAAAAGAAAACTGCCCGAACTGAAAGGAGATATAGATGAATCCACAATTATAGTTAGAAATTTCCTCATGCCTTTTTCAATAATTGATAGAACTAGACAGAAAATCAGCAAGGAGTGTTGGCTTTGGCAGCACTTTCTAAAATTAGAATGATGCAGACAAGATTAACACGGCTCCTGCATGTAGATTACACAAAATTTTGTGAAGCATTTCATATTTTTAAAAAGAGGGAAAAAATCAGCAAGAATATAAAACAACTCAAAATGCCATTAACCAAAAGAATCGATTTGGCATTTACAGAATATTCCACAGAACGGCAGAATACACGTATTTTTTCGAATGCTGACAAAACACATGGCAAGATAGAGCTATCCTAGGCCCTAAAACTCACCACAGCAAATTTAAAAGAGACAGTAATCAACCAGAGCAGGTGAAAACCAGAAATCATTGTAGGGAATCCAATTGGAAATGAGCATAAGAAAGATATGAAAATTCCCAAACACTTGGAAATTTAAAAACACACTTCTAAATAATCTATTGGTCAAAGAAGGGGTCTCAAGGAAAAATTTAAAAAATATGTTGAACTGGATAAACATGAAACTGTGACATATGAAAGTACTGAGAAGGAAACTTATAGCAATAAATGCATGCATTAGTAAAGAGGAAAAGTCTCAAGTGAGCAATAGATTTCCACCTCAGGAACCTAGAAAAAGAAGAGCAGAATAAACTGAAAGCAAGTAGAGGGTGGGGATTAATGAAGATAAGAACAGAAAACACATTTAAAAGAGAAAAACAATAGTTTTTCTCAATGAAACAAAGAGATAGCTCTGTTAAAAGATTAATAAAATTTAGCAGACTCAAGCAGAAATTAAAAGGAAAAGACACAAATTTTAAATATCGTAATGAAACAGGCGATATCACTACAGACATCACACATTACAAAGGACAATCAAGGAATATTTCAAACCACTCCACACACATAAATTAGACAACTTAGACAAAATGGACAAAATGCAGTGTTCCTGCTGCAACACAAACTAACTCCACTCACCACGCAGGAATAGATCATGTGAATAACTCTATAACCATTAAGAAAATAGAATTCATAATTTTAAAACTACCAAAAAAGAAATATCTAGGTTTAGATGGTTTCACTGGAGAATTCTAACATGTTTTAAAAAAAGTTAACACCAATTCTACACTATCTTTTCCAGAAAACAGAAAAAGAACATTTCCCAATT